TGTTAGGATCTGCCCAACTGCCGATCAGGCGGAAAAGACAAACCAGATTGCTGCGCCCATGTAAGAATAGGTGGGAGAGAGTCGGGGAGAATGGTGAAGAGAGGATCTGCCGGGCGGTCAGTCCCGGATAAAGGATTAAGTTAATGCAACGTAAGGTCTGTGGATTTTGTGGAGAGTCCACGTAGGACATGTAGTATGCGTCAGTCCATCCTGTCTGACGTCCTGTCCGCCATGGCCTGTCTCATGGAACGGACAAAGACTCAACAGCCGTCCTGTCTCACAGATCAGTGGATCGTCGGTCTATGAACCCTAGGCCCTAAACCCTGGACCGACTTGCACTTCTGACAGAAGTGAAGAAATGGATGGAATGCGCTGCACAGCTGCACTGGCTGCAGGTGACGAACGCATACCTGCACCACGCGCTGCCAGTAGCTCTTGCTTGTGCGGCACGCCACGTCCTTCAGTGTGCCCATGACGCCTTCCCCCTTGAGCTGATGCGGTCCGAGGGGTGGTGAGTCGCCAGCGCACTCTGCAGGCGCCAGGGAGTCGCCAGCCGCTCCGTAGCAGGCGGTGGAGAAATGACGTGGCGGACGAGGAAATCTGGACGAGTTGGGAGGGGTAGAGGGAGATGCGGCGGACAACACAAGCCAACAGCCGAGCGAGAAGAAAAGGAACTGGAGGATCTGTGGCCCGAAAAAGGCTGAGAAGCCGAACGCGCCGAAAAACTGTGGAAATGGACATAATAGGGTGTTTTTGGGTCTGTCTCCGTCTCAGATTCTCGCCGCTTGTTTGGGCTGGTCCCGCGCCGCTAACGGTTTTTTTTGAGCTCTACTGTTCACATCCTTCACAGCGCGACATCATGTGAGGTGATGGATGTCGCCAACCCTGTGAATCTGGAGGAATCATTCTTCTCCGATCGGTTTTGCTTGTACTCTCTTGCACACATCATGATGCATATACACTCATTACTCATACGACAGACATACACACGTATCGACAAAACCGCAAAAATGTGTCGCCTCGTGACTCTTTCACCTGGCTGACTGGCTGGCTGGTCTCATGTCACTCTGTCTGGAAGAGGAAACGATGCAGCAAAATTACACAGCAGCAGCAGCAAGGAGGCAGACAAAACATACATACGTATGTATACTTATGCATTTATACGCAGGCGAGCGCGGAGCATGAGCAGCTGACTGACTGATCGATTGACACCCTTCCCCAAACACCCACAAATACAGACAGACAGACAGACAGACGCAGACACAAGACCAGCAAGCAAGCAACAACACGGGCCCCATCGTACGCAGCCTCTCGAGTCCCCCCTGAGCCTCTCTCTGGTTCACTGCTGCACTCACTACACGGCTGCCGGCTGTGTGATTGCCCGCAGCCTCTCAATCAGCAAAGGGTCTTCAGGCTTGAGCACGTCGAAGGATGTCCTTTCGCCCTTGACGCGCCGCAAAATGTACTCGGACACGCCCTCATAAGTGAACCAGTACCGCAGCCGACGCAGATTCGCCTGCAGTGCACACAACACACATCACATCGCACCCATCGATCCATCCCCACCTTTCATGTGCTTCGTTGGGCTGGCTGACCTACCTGTCTTCTGTGTATCTCTTCCGGCGGAATGTCGTTGATGAGGGTGGGCAGCATGTGGGCCATGCTGACGTGGATGGAGACGCCGATGTCGTCCCACGCGAAGCCCTCGACGTCTGGGTATGGGAGGTAGGGGAAGTCGTCCCACACGTACACGGGAATGGCCCCGAGCTGCACCGCCTCGTACATCCTGAAGGAATGAAGGAATGAATCCGCACAGACAGACACGTGTATGTTCCTAGCCTGACGGCGGCTCGTTTGTGCATGGCGTGGTAGCGTCATGGGAGTTAACTAACATGCATAATACTGACTACCTGAATGATGTTCGTCCCATGCCTCTGGGTGTGAGTGTGAAGACCGACCGCTCCATGAGGCGCTGGAAATCGGAACCCTCGTAGTGCACCACCACATGGGGGTCAACCAACGCCTGCCAGGCACACACACCCATCCTAGTTGTCAGTCACACAAACGTCATAAATATTGCGTTCGTTTGTTGTCGGCTCCTTGGTCGTGTCACTCGTGTGTCTTCTCTCTCCATCTCCTCTCACCCACCCACCCACCCGTTGCAGCTCCTCGTCGGTGCCGCTCTCTCGTTCAATGTCTGTGAGGTTTGTGAAGGTGAGCACCTCCAGCAGCCGACGACGCACAGGGAACCGCTTCTTGGCGATCGTCGACGACAGCAGGATGTCACGGGCGGGAGGTGGGTCGGACACACTGCACCACACACACATCATGATGGGGGGGGGATGGCTGGATCAGTGTGTGTGTGTGTGTGGCGTACTGGAGGTTGCCCTTGATGAGGGGTATGGGTGTTTGTGTGGGGAAGCGCTCCGACCCGCCCGCATTGAACACCAATATGTTGGGCGGGAAGCGAAGCTCCAGCTTCTTCAGACCCTCAGCGTCCTACACACACACACACACACACACAGTCGATCGATGGACTGCATGCTCGTATGGCGCGGTTTAGATCTACCTGCAGCACGGTGAAGTACTTTCGGTCCAGCTTGACGTATTTCTGGAGGAATCTGAGGACCTCCAGCCGCCACTGGGCCTTCTTGTCGTCATCCACCTTGCTCCTGCATCCACCCCACCATCCGTACGCGCGCGACACGTTACACGTTCAATGGCACGACCGACACAATAACTAAGTCACCCACCTGCTGAGTGAGGTCCAGAAGACGGGCAAGTAGATGGGCTCCTTGCTCGAGTGCGCCACCTGCTGCCATGCCGCGAAGAACGAATCCTCTATCCATGGACCGGTGTATCCGCTGATTGATGGATCGGACAGACCACACACAGGACAGACACATCGTTCCTCGCTCCCGAAACACACACTCAGACACACAGGCAAGTACAGTCCAGTCCGCCTGTCTGTCGCTCACCTACCTATAGTTGGAGTTGAGAAGTGGTCTGAGTCCCGATGTGGCCCCGAGTATGTGCATCTGCTCCTCATAAAACAACTCATGCACGCTCTTCGAACCAACGCCCTCATCGCCACCGTCACCCCCCTGCTGCTGCTGCTGTTGCTGTTGCTGCTGCTGTTGCTGCGCAGAGTCGCCCACACGAGCAGCTTCGTGGGCCTCCATGGGAGCCGCCGGATTCGCATTCTTGCCGTCCACTGCTGCTGATCCTGCTGCAGCTGATTGGATAATGAGGTCGTTGTCATTTTCCTGGACGTCTGGCATGCCGCCGCCGGTGCGCTTGCGCATGATGGGTGTGAGGAAAGGGTCAGCCACCTGCCCAGAGAGGGGGGGCGACAGCCGATGCAGCACACTCAGAGCTGAAGGAACGAAAAGAAGAATGAGCACAACGTGTGTGTCGGTCGAAGTAGGGCGTACCTCTGAGGCTCGAGAGGTGGATATAGACACACAGGAAGAAGACAAAGGTCACCACACACACGAGAAAGAGACTCGCCCAGCTGAGAAAGGCAGGGAGCATGTGCAGGGACACCACCGGCACCTCCCCCTTCTGCACGTCGAGGGGCCACATGAGTGACACCGGCGGCCATCTGCGGCCGTTCCCACCCCAGCCCCTGGGCGCTTTGCGTGTGTTGGCCGTTGGGTCAGATCGTTTCCGCTTGAACATTCGTTGCAGAGTGCCACGAACCATGAGAGGTACCGCTGCATGCGGCGGGCCGCCGAGTCGATGTCTGTCTGACAGACATGCGGCACGGACACAATAAAGCACGAAACCACGGTCAATGCACTAAGTCTTTCGTGTGTTTCGTCTCACCTTTGGCCTCACAGCTGCTGAACAACCACCTCAGATTTCTCCCGTTGAAGTGAAAAAGGGGCTCACTCGTTGGAGCGTTGTCGGGTCAGTCATTAGCTGTCACGGAGTGTTGTGTCACACTACACTAAGCTCCACGGATCCAGAGAGGGTGCCTTTTCCTCTCCTTGCAAGCCAAGCTCGCAGCGCAAACTTCTTGCGGTCCCCCTTCGAAGACAGCCCCTCTCGCCATGCTTGCTGTCTTCGCCGCTGCATCATCTTTCCTTGCGTCATGTATCGCTGTCGACATCCCCGCATTTGCATCGCTCAATGCTGGAGGACTGCATCCCACACTCCGCAGCCGCGCACACAGACTCAGATCACCCGCTATGAGGTGGCGAGGTGGTCGGTGGCATCATTCTTCCCCTGCTGGTGGCGGTGCTGCTGCTCTTGATGACGGGCAGTGTGGAGTGCTCAGGATGATGGCGGATGCGGAGGGGCTGCTCGACGTGTAAGGGCGCGACACAATGCAATCACGGCAGAATGACAGACACATGGGTTCTCCCCTTGTCCTGTGTGTCCTGTTGGTGATTGATTGCAGCAAGAGGCTTGAGCGTGCCGCGACGGGTCCGCAGATCTTTCTCCCTGACGACCAGCGGTTGAAGATTGGCGTTGTGGGAGCCGGTAAGACCAGGACACCTGGATGGATGGAGCGATGGAGGGAGGGAGGGATAGGACGAGCTTTGGTTTGCTGCACTGCCCCTTCTTGTCTTGTGTGGTCATTGGTGGTCACAGGTCTCGCTGGGTTGGTGACAGCGATGGATCTGGCTGATGCGGGCCACTCGGTTGAGATCTACGAGACGCGGCCGTTCATCGGTGGCAAGGTGGGCAGCTGGGTCGACAAGGACGGCAACCACATCGAGATGGGCCTACACGTCTTCTTCGGGTGCTACTACAACCTCTTCGGCATATTCAAGGTACACCACACCCCGTCAGCTTCAGCTCAGGACGCTCAAACCTGCTTGTCTGGGTCATTTTGATCAGCGATTGGGCATCTTTGAGGATGCCCTCCGGCTGAAGACCCACACGCATCAGTTTGTCAACAAGGGCGGCGACGTGGGCGCACTCGACTTCAGGATGGGCGGCGTCGGGGCGCCCTTCAACGGTCTCAAAGCCTTCGCCACCACCAGCCAGCTGGGTGAGACTGATGCATGTATACTGATGGATGGATGCCTTGCCACACACACTTGGGGGGGTGGGATCGATCAGAGTTGGGTGACAAGGTTGCGAATGCGATTGCCTTGGCGACGAGTCCCGTGGTGAGGGGCCTGGTGGACTTCGATGGCGCCATGGAGGATGTCAGGAACCTTGATGACATCTCATTCAGGTCGATAACCAAGACAGGCACCACACTGCCACATTGCTGGACCCATTGTGTCTTCCTTCTTGTGTGGATGCATGGCATGCAGTGAGTGGTTTCTGAGCAAGGGCGGCAGCCGTGGGTCGATCGACCGGATGTGGGACCCCATTGCGTACGCCCTTGGCTTTATCGACTGCGACCACATATCGGCCCGGTGCATGCTCACCATCTTCCAGCTGTTTGCCGTGAGGAGCGAGGCGTCAGTGCTGCGAATGCTCGAGGGATCGCCGCACGAGTACCTCCACAAACCCATACAGCAATACCTGGAGGCAAGGGGAGCCAAGGTACGCACCCATCACCACACCCTACCCTGCACACACAAACAACCGTACCATGGTGTCTTCACTCACGGTCCTGTGTCCAGATTTTTACTCGCCGGAAAGTGAAGGATCTGCTATATGACACCGATGCATCCGGCGCCCCCACCCGGATGCGCGGCATCGTGGTCACGGGCCCGCCTGGCAGAGACCGACAGGACGAGACCAAAGAGTTTGACGTGGTGGTTGCGGCTGTGGACGTGCCGGGCATCCAGAAGCTGCTCCCGCCGTCATTCAAGTCCAGCTACGACGTCTTCGGCAACGTCGACAAGCTTGAGGGCGTCCCTGTGGCGACTGTGCAGCTGAGGTTCGACGGCTGGGTGACGGAGCTGGACCCCAGCCATCCCGACAGAAGAGTGGTGGACAAGGACTTCTCGGACGGCAAGGCGCCCGGCCTCGACAACCTGCTGTACTCAGGTGGGTGGGTGAGCCCACAGAGACACGCTCTAGCAAGGAGACTGAGTGCGCACATCGCTGTCGGCTTCGTCCTCTCTGTGGTGTGTGTCAAACTGCAGCCGATGCTGAGTTTTCGTGTTTCGCCGATTTGGCTCTTGCGAGTCCAGCTGACTATTACAAGCCGGGCGAGGGGTCTCTGCTGCAGTGCGTGTTGACGCCCGGCGACAAGTGGATGCCCCAGGAGGTCGACGCAATCGCCAACGCCACGCTCAAACAGGTGCGTGTGTTGACGGGACGGGACACCCATCCATCCATCCATCTATCTGCTGGCCTGAGTGTGTGTCTTGTTGTGTGCATTGTGTGCGTACAGGTGTACGACTTGTTCCCAAGTGCGCGTGATTTGAAGTGCACGTGGTCCAACGTCGTGAAGCTCAACCAGTCCCTCTACCGGGAGGCCCCGGGGATGGACCCATTCCGCCCCCCACAGAAAACACCGGTGGATGGCTTCTACTTGGCGGGCTCATACACATATCAGGACTACATCGACTCGATGGAGGGCGCCACCAAGAGCGGGCTCAAAGCCGCCGAGGCCATTCTCGACGACACACCTGCTCTCGCGGCGTTGAGGCGACGGGAAGGGCTGGAGATGGTGCCTGTCATGCGTCAGGAGGCCACCGCATCGAGGAACGCCTCGCTTGTGGGGTCTGTATGAGGGTGTGCCTGTGTCTGTGTCTGGCCTCTCTCTCAAGATTGGTCTGCGAATGAAGCTTTCGTAGGTAGACGAACTGAGTGGGCGAGGGATGGTTTGTGTTTTGCGTGTACAGGAGAAAGAGAGAGGATCCCGAAGGGATCCCGTGATCTACGTGTGGATGGGTGGTGGGTGTATGGTGTGGATTGACCAAACAATAATTTTTGATAGCGTATGTAGCTAGCTAGACAACGAGGTAGACGTGTACAGCTTTCTTCCCTCTATGCTGTGGGTACCCGGGTGGGTGGATGGAGAGACCAACGATTTCATTTCCCACGATGCATGCGATGCTGCGTTACGCTCAGTGTACAGCTGTCGTGATGTGCCAACGACCAAACACGAACAGCTTACACTTCATCTCGTGACTGTCGTTCGTGTGGTCCCTTTTGCAGTGATTAATCGGCTCGGCACGCGAAGGGAAGAAAACACCCCTCGGATCGCGAGCTCGGCGAAGGAGCTCGCCCTTTCGATGAATGGGTTGGCGTGTTGTGCACCAACTAGCACTCCCTGAGTCGGTGTGAGTGCCCCGCGGAGGTCGGCCTCCTCGATAGTAAGCCGCGGCTGACACAGAGGCCATCGCTCATTGGATTCTGCTCGAGAAATCTCGCCGGTAGGCAGCACATAGATGCCGAGAGCGATGCACACACACACACACACCACTGTGCTCTTCTCGTCAGCCGTGTTTGCGTCGCGCCATGGCAGCGGCGGCAGAGGTGAGGTCAAACACCGTACACACAGACGCAATCATGATGTGCCACTGTCAATGATTCATTTCTTTGCTTCATTCGTCAGGCGATTGGACGCTCTGCGCCGTGCCGTTACCGGGAGGGCAGTCGCGTGCAGATGGTGACCAGCAAGCGGGAGAAGGGCAAGCAGAGGTGGGTCAAGGCCGACGTGTATCGCATCGAGGAGGGCAGTGGAGGGACGGCGCTTCACTTGAGGGAGGTGCGCGGACTCCGGGAGGAGTTCAAAGTGCTGGTGCCGCACAACGAGACCACGGCGCTGACAGACACGAATCAAATGGCACCCGTGGTGGGCAAACACACCTCAACAGAAAGGTCCCTGGACCACTGTGTGATGTCTGTCTGTGGTGTTTGGATGTGTGATCTGTCTGTGTGCAGGTGTGGGATGTTAGCAAGAAGGTACAAACAGCCACTCTCATGTCTATCTCCCTTGGTCTTGTCTTTGGTGTAGGTTCCTGCACGCTTCAGCGAGGACCTTCTGGCGTCGCTCTTCAGCTACTTGGCCCCTCGCGAGCTGTCGGCCATCTTCCCTCCCCCTCGCATCACCGACTCCCTCATGGCGTCGTCTTCCACCCTGCCGTCGACCAGTGGCGGTGCGCTGTCTGCGGGCGCCGCCTTCGGACCCATCAAGGACGAGACCACAGCTGTGGCGGGTGTGCCATCGGGATCATCTCTGTTTGGCGGCTTATCTCTGACCGGCACTACAACGGGAGAAGGGGGCTCGTCGCTGTTCACATTTGGCGCAGCCACATCCACACCCAAGCCACGGTTCCGCGCCAAGCCGGTGAATGCCACCCCTTCACCCGACTTCGGCGGCATCTTCGCGCCTGGCAGTGCCAAAGCACCATCTGCAGCACAGTCGACAACCGCACCCGCCAGCAAGCCATTCGCAATCGGCAAGGCATCAACGAGGGGAGGCGGGGGCGACCCGTCTGGTGGTGGGGCAACATCGGGTGGTGGGGCAACATGGACGGGCAGCGGCACTGGCAGAGGGACGGCTGGCACATTCACCTTTGGCGGCGCTGGTGAGTGACGAGGGGGCAGCCACACATGAATGGATCAACCGCATGCTGCCTGTATGTGTGTGTGGATTCCGATCAGGTGTGGCGTCGTCTCCATTCAGTGGAGCGTCATTCTCGACTCGGGGCAGTATGCTTGGCGGTGCGGCCTTCGGGCAGCAACGACCCGGCGGCGCCGCACAGAGCAGCCCCTCCCCCATCCACACGGCCGCCGTTCAGCAGCAGACACACGTCGCCATCGACTGCAGCACCGGGGACGACCGCCAATTCTGGGAGCGCATGACGCCTGAGGAGACCTTCGAGCTCGGCAAAAGGCTCGTCAATTTGACAGCCCTCAGCCTCGTGCAGCCGCATAACGAGAGGTGGTGGTGTCTGGGCAGCATGATAAGCGTCGTGGAGGGCCATGCGGCCGGGCGGCGCAAGGCGCGCGAGAAGGAGGGGCAGCACCACATGGCGGAGGGCAGTCTGGAGACCATCCACTTCACCACCACCACCACCAGCCCCAGCAGCACCAGCTCCCCGCCCTCCCTCCCTGCCCCCCTCACCGAGCCCCCGACCCTCCATGCGCTCAGGGCCGTCACAGGAGTCGTCCAGCAGCACAGTGTGCTGGCCGAAAGGGAGTGGAAGATGCCCGCACTCGAGTATGTGGATCAGGGCGGGTGGGATGCCACCACGCTGGGCCAGTTCTTCAGCTCGTCGTCATGCCTGAAACAAGTGCGGGGGCTTTGGCGGACCTGGGGCAAGTGGGGGGATCTCTTTGAGCACATTCCCGCCGCATCCGCCGGCCAGCCAGGGCCGCTCAGACACCTCCAGATCATCGGAGGCATCGAGCATGAGCGTTATCGGCGAACTTTAGAGCAGTACCGAGCAGAAATCTCGCGGCTCCAGGTAGACAATCAGCACAGACGAGAGGCCTCACCTGTGCGTGTGCACACACACACGATTGGTGTCATTCTCTCTTTGTTTCTTTCTAGGATGTGCTCACGTCGTGTGGCTGCCAGAAGTCGCTGACGCGGTTCGACGTGCAGATCCCACCATTCGCGAAGTACGACGACCTTGCCGCCCTGCTGACTGTCGACGGCTTCGTCAGCACGTGCTGCGCGCCCGATGTGCCGCTCACCGTGTCGATTGAGGTGGGCAAGTTCGAGCTGTCCCTCTTCTACGCCGACGCATTCCCCCATCGCCCATCCCCCTTCTTCAAGACGGCCATCAAGGAGGCGGCGAAGCAAGCGAGAACGGTGTCCTACACCATCAGCCACCACGACATCACCCACCCCCTCAACAGCCCCAGCCAGGCGGCCATCGAGATCGCACAAAGCCTCTCATTCGACAAGGTGGACCACGTGACGGTCTACAATGCCCCCGGCCTCGCCCCTCCAGGCGCCCCCCCACCCATCCCCACCATCGTCACCCACCTGCAGCAGTTCCCAAGCGCAAGAGAGCTGGATGTCTACAGCGGTCTGGTCGCCGCTGCGGGCCGGCTGCTGGCGCTGAAGATGCCCATGCAGGTGGGGCGTGTGGTGTTTGGCATAGGTGTGAGCGGAGAGGACAGGCTCGGTGTGCTGGACGCGCTGGAGCAGAAGAGAGAGGTGCGCACTGTCGATGTGGGTGCGTTAGATCCGGTCAGTCTCACGCAGGGCGGCGCCTTTGACGGCTGGGGGTCGAATCACCTGCCATCGATTCGCAACATAGAACTGAACCTATTAGGTATGCCGGGAATGCAGCGATTGCAGGAAGGTGCTCGTCGAATCATCTTCTGTGTCCATCCGCCTTGCCTGTGTGTCGTCATTCAGCGCCCCGTGAGTTGGAGAAGGCTGCGGCTGTCGAGCTCCTTGGCCACGGCGTGACGTCTCTGCTCACCGCTGGCGTGCGGGGCCTGACGGGTGTGCGGCTGCGGCTGGTAGCGCGTGACGACATTCTCACAGCGGTTCGTCAGCTGCTCCCTAACGGGACGCGAGTGGCCGACTTCACCATCAACACGCGGGATGAGTCTATTTCTCGCATTCTGGTGGAGGCAACTCGTCGCTCCTAAACGGTGAGAGGTCGAACTTTTAGACTTCGCTTCGCTTTGTCCGTGCACACGGGTGTGCGTGTTGGCGTGTGTGTGTGTGTGTTGTGTGGTCAGGCTGTCTGTCTGTCTGTCTGTCTGTCAGACAGCACCGTAGTGTAGCTGTGCGAGCAAGATGGCGTACTCCTTTTTGATGTGCTTATGGATCCCTGACTTCGGAATCGTTCAAGACTCGATCGCATGCGCCTTGACGTTTAAGACTCCTTCATTCGAATTCACATCATCAACACTCCTTCATTGAGATGGCTTGATTAGCTGAGAGAGAGTGGGGTTGTGGTGTGTTAACCATCCATTTGGTGCGGTGTTGGCGTGATCAATTGAAAATTGTGAGAGTCAAGGGGTCTGCTGTGATGGCTGTGGTGCGTGTGTGAATGCTGCCTTTCCTACTTGGGGAACACACGCTGAACCATCTCGACTGTCTACTTTCTGAGCCGTGCTTACACTCACACCTGCACACCTAACCTCACCTTAATTAGCTGCCGCATTCCTTCCGATGGCCCTTTTGCCTTTGCACTTCGGCACCATTGCCGCTGGCGAAGTACACCAAAGAGAGCCCCACTCACGAACTCACGCACTCTCTCACTGACTCACTCGATCGTTTTCTTAGCATCTCGCATCCGCACAGTACTTAGTAAGTCACCTTCTCTGCCGCCATCAGCACAGCTCGGTCACTTAGTATGTCAGCTGCCTGTCTGTCTCTCTCACGGACTCGCTTACGCATATCCGGCCGGGGGTGTGTCTGTGTCTTGGTGCCTGACTGTCTGCTTACCGCTTATTCATCTTTTTGAGTGCGTGAAGATGCATGCCAACGACCAAACGGATTTGACCCGCGTGAATCAAGCTATTTATTGCAAGTTGCTCATTCATTCATTGCACAGAGTCTCTCACTCGCTCAACACGCACATCCCGCCTTCCTTTTGCCTCTTCCATCAGCCTCTCGGCCGCCTCCTCACCCAACACAAGACTGGTCATCACGCCATCCGCATCAAATCTGTCTCGCCTGTCCCTCACATCCCCAAACCGCGTCATCCACCTCTCAACGGCCCCCGTGTCCTTGTAGGCGTATGACACACGCACACCAACACACACAGAATACTCCACCCACACACCGCTCTCGTCCTGCTCTGCCAGTGGCGAGAACAGCAGCTTCGCGGCGCCGCCGTACGCCCGGGCAAGTCCGCCCGTCCCCAGCTTGATGCCGCCGTAGTATCTCACCACAAACACGGCCACACTAACGGCCTTTTCGCCCTCGAGATGCGACAAGATCGGCCTCCCTGCCGTCCCACTCGGCTCGCCGTCATCAGAGCACCGCACATCCACCAGCCCATTGTCGCCAATCAGCCTGTAGGCGAAGGTGATGTGCCGCGCGCCTTTATGATCTTGACGCACCTGGCCGAGCAGTTGATCAAACTCCTTGGACGATGCACAGGGATAGCCTAGAGCTACAAAACGTGATCTCTTCTCCGTCAACTCAGCCTGCACGGACCGTTAAGTGTTCGCTGAGCTGCTGGCGACGACACCGCGGCGAACAAGAGCTGGACTCCTCTGCGAACGGCGGCCGTCATGGCCAGAGCTCGAGAGGTAGCCGACAGGAGGATCAGTAAATGGATGTCGCTGAGCAGTTTCATCAGTGCAGATAGGTGCACTGTGCGTCAGATCCTCCTCGCATGGCCGTCAGATCAGCTCGGCAGCAGCCTCAGCTGATTCTCGGAAGGTCACCAACACTGCACAAACCGCATAGATCTCAATGCAGCACTGAGTGAATGGCACCTGGCGTGCGTGTGCCTCATTGCCATGCAGCTGCTTACCGTCGCTGCCCCTGAGAGCTCTCTTGTCCTCCAAAGTCTGGTCGGAAACATGAGATCCAGCCTGCCATCCAGGTCATTCGATCTGACTTTGCATCCTGCCTTGACACGAGCAGACGCCTTTGGCTAACCAGCATCTGATGACGACTTCTCGCCAACCTGCGAGCTGATCTGCCGCCTCCCTCTGGCTCGCGCTTTTTTAGGCCGAAGTTTCGCCGTTTGTTTCAACAGGTTTGACAGATGCGTGAAGGCCGCCTCAAGAGCAAGCGCCTGGTGACGACGGCCGAGGAGCTGTTCGCTGCTGGCTCCGACCCGGCGCCGTCAGCCGAGTCGCAGAGTGGGCCACGGCTGTTCTGGTGCCCCAAGTGTATGGAAATCCATGATGCGAACACTCACCACCACCAGCCGCCTGGCGAGGAGGGCTGGGAGTTCCAGCCAGAGGCGGGATACGAGCGGCCGATGACCAAGATCCGCAACTCACTCAGGACCAGGCCAAAGAAGACAATCGGTGAGGAGCACCACGAGAGAGAGAGAGGGGGGGAGGGGGGGAGGTGGAGTGCATGTGTGTGTGCATGATGGCTCTGTCTGCTCCCTCTGTCTGTCCCTCTGTGTTTGTGTATGTCTTGGTGCAGATGTCGACTGGATCGATCACAAGAGAGACCTGAGAGGGCTGGAGGACCCTGACGATATCGACTACCACATCCACGGCTACGACAAGCGCATCAGGAGAAAGAAAAAGAACGCCAAGCAGCAGCAGCGCAAGAAGCCTCCCGCGGTTGTGGAGAGCAACGGCTACGTTCCGGCCGACCTCAAGAAGGCAGATGCTGGTGCGGCAAAGGCGAGCAGCGACGAGCTGCCGATGGAAGAAGCGGCGGATGCGGAGGTGCAGCAAGAAGGTGACATCCCCCCGGCCAATACCGACACCAACACGGAATCGAAGCGGCCTCGACGGACCCCCAAGCCACCCAAGTGGATGGAGCTGGATTTCAAGGTCAAGAAGACCACAACCAAGAAGACCACAACCAAGAGGGCGGCCCCCACGCCACGCAAATTATCGTCCATCGGGGAAAAAGACTCAAGGCCGCACTCATCAAAAAGGCGAACGGTGAGAACTCTACACAAAGATCCATCCGTCTATGGGATCACATCACATCACATGCTCTCTCTCTCTCTCTCTCTCTCAGCAGCACCAACAGAAGCAGAAGCAGCAGCAGCAGCAGCAGCAAGAGCAGCAGCAGCAGCAAGGCCCCCCCATGATGTTCCCCATGCCTCTCCCGGTGCTGGTGCCAGGGCTGCCTTTGGCGACGGCGCTGCCCGTGGGCAGCTTCCCGGTCACTGGGATGCCATCATATGCCCAGCACTACTATGCCCGTCATCCTGGTGCGGCAGACGAGGGCGGCACGGCCCAGGGACTGGTGCAGCAAGCGGCTCCGGCGCGGGAGGGCACACAGGTGGGGGCGGACACACTGACAGCTGAAGGATGATTGGGAGAGAGAAGAGTGCATGTGTGTCCCTGTGTGAGTGCTTGCAGGAAGGTCCGCAGGCGTCGTCAGCTGATGCGTCGGGGGGGACCCCGCGGCCGTCAAGCGGCGCGGCAGGAGAGGGAGGTCTGACGGACGAAGAGGTGCTGATGTTGTGTGCGCCCGCACAAGACGACTAGCCTTTGTGTCAGGTTTTCTGCTGGCTGGCTCATGGGGTGTGGGAGTGAGCCGTTCGATCGATTTCATGCTGCATGTACAGATACAGGTAGCCAACTGGCTGATGGATTGAGTGATTGATTGAGATCGATTGATTCACCGGGTGAGTGCCCGCCATATTCGTTTCTCTCTGGTTTTCTACCTGGCTGGCGCGAGATGGCTTGTTCATTTCATTGGCTGACGTACTTGACGTAGCGGACCGGTTAGCATGATGTGGGTCTGCAGCTGACCCACATCGTGGCTTTTCGTCTCCATTACGTCAAGATCATCAACCAAAGCACAAACGGGGGAACGGATCGAATGCACGACACTGCACGACGTGTTGCCAATGTAAAGGAACAGGTGGCATTCCGTCACGGGACCATAAGCCGACTTCCTTGCAAAGATGAACGACAGTCAGCTACGCAAAGTGTGTCTGTCACTGTGTCTCGCCCCCACTGTCAGTCAATCAAGGCAACTCACAATCACACCACACTTGACCAGGAAAGAAACAGAAGAAGCTGCTGGCCGACCGTGCACGCACCAGCAGCCCCTTTCTCCGTGTGTGTCTTCTCTCTCTCATCCCGTGTGTGTGGTGTCTCTCAAATTCAACGATCGATCAGTCGCTGTTCTCGAGCATGGTGCCATACGTCTGCTGTGCGCCCTGTCTCCCGCTCTCTTCGTCACTCGACTCATCCGCCAGCTGCACAAACTGCTCGTGCCGGTCGTTCTTCTCCGGCCACTTGACGTGGCACGGCACCTGCAATCAATCAATCAATCAGTGGCATGCAAATACGCCCTCAATCCTCCGGTGTGTCTGTGGGTCTCGGACAGACCGGAGAGAGTAGATGTGGTCGGGGGCGGAGACGAGATCAGCGTTCCGCAGCGCTCTCACATTGACGTGTTTGATGCGCTCGAGCTTGAGCATCAGGTATCGCGTGATGATGAACTGGATCACCACTATCACGATGAGGAACAGCATGTCGTACCTGACCAGCTGCCGGAGCCACATCGGCCCCTCGAGCAGCTTTTCGTCTTGGCTGCTGGTTATGTATACGGTGTGCTCTTCGCGGTGGTCCCAGAAGGTGATCTTGGGGACACCGGACAATAGCTCTTCCTGAAGCTCCTGGAGAGACCGAAGGATTGGTGACTCTGTCGGTCCTGTGCTTAAGTGACACTGTCGGTCCTGCGGGCTGCTGCTTTCTGAGGAGGGTGCGGAGGGCTTGCTTGACATGGTGGTTGTGGATGAGCGGGATGAACGTGGCCACAAAGTCGAACAACCTGAATGAAAGAAGCCAAAGCCAATAGCGGGAAAAATCCGATCCACGTGTCCTTCCTCTGCGTAAGTAGGACAGACCAGTGGGAGAGGGCAGGGAAGAGCACCGCGGCCCAGACGCCAAACCAACCCTGCCAGACAGACAGCGTTGGGAGACATCCGTCTGCTGCGTGTGTAGCCTTTTCTTTGTACGTACGAGGAAGTTGAAGAACTTGTAGTGTGCCAGAATGCTTCCCTGGAGAGATCCGTCAAGACAATGCCTGCATTTGATTCGATCGAGATTGCCATTACGTGTGTGGATTGCAATCGATGTTTCTGTTGGCCGTGCCCTTGCCCTACTGACCTACCCTGGCACACTGACTATCAGTCGCTGCCATGCGGTCCAAATTCCGTTGCTGACCCATCTAGGGCCAAGCCTCAACCCCGGCGTCGTAGGAGATGCAACCGTGCCAATAACATAGTTCCAATTTTCAAGGACGGCGAACCTGGCAGAGACAGCGGGCCCGAATCAATCTCTTGTCAACAACATTCTCGTTGATGCCTCCCTCTCCTACGTGTTGGCCGATGTGATGCCGTACACTATCAGGGCTCGGGGGTCACATACATGGTCCTTCCACAACACGCGTCTGAAATGCGCACAGACAGACAGACAGACAGAGACATGGGCAGACATGGGCAGACAGAGACAGACAAGACGCATTCACCGACCTGACTGCAAGAAACTTGATGCTCTCCTCAACGATGCCTATGATGAGGGGGCTGAGGATACACCAGAGGACGTTGCCCACGAGCAGCTCCTCGATCTCATTCGGCGGGGTCATGGGGAAAAAGATCCGGACGAGGAGTTTCGCTGCCAACATAACGAGGACCTGCAACGACAGCCACAATTCAACGACAGCCCGCGGCTATAAATCGACGAAGGCTTCACATTCGGGACAATCAGCAGGAACATCCACAGGCTGAGTGAGCAGTTGATCAGCCACAGACAGGAGACACGCAAAGAGACATCCAGAGGATTCATTAGACGTGTGCTGGCGTGCATGGCTGTATCCCGCTCACGTCGATTCGCACACGACGAAGAACATCTGAAGGAGAGAGACACGCACCAACAACGATCGATGATGCCGTCCGTCCGTCTCCATACCTGTTCCGGCAAGAACTGGTTGGTGAAGCGCTGAGTGAGTGAGTGAGTGAGTCAATCAAGGAAGGAGTGACCAAAGACCGGATGCAACGAGACCTCTTGATCGATCATACACACCTGGATGAGGTACAACTGAATGATGATCGATGGCCCAGTGGCCAATAACATAATGCCTGTGTTCACCAGTTGCCCCAGAACAACTGCATCGACACAAAACACGTACGGGAAATCGGTGGTGACTCAGTGTGCGTGTCTCTTTCAGTCCCACATCCAAGCGCAAAGAGCGACGCGACGACAACCAGCAGAAGGTACGCAAAGACAGCCCATGTGCCGCGCTGAAAGAAACCTGCAGTCAGCCATCACTGCACTCAAGAAGGCATGGCATGCATTGCGTCCGCAAACCTGCACTGAAGAGGGCGACGGACTGCCTTCTTTTCTCAATGAAGTCTTCTTTCCTCACATGCGCCGCCCTCGGCGGCCCCGTGGAAGGCTGCATTGCGAAAGACGCCTGGCAAAGACGCGAGCTACTGCCAAAAGCTCGCTCTTCGAAGGGTGAGCGTTCCTTGGGTTCGTCTGTGCATGTGGAGCGTGCGTGGGTGATTCCTGTTGCGTGTCGTTCGTTTGATTGTGCGTGAAAGACATGGGACTTGGCCGTCAGGCCGCTTAGGACGTTCGGAATCGCTCGCTCGAAGGGTGAGCGATGCATCCTCCTCGTGAGCCGTCGGTGCGGTATCCCGGTCCTCAACACGGTCACCCGCATCCCCGACGCGGCAACTGGCGTCAACCACGCCATCCCTTAGGCTACCCCCGCAACCCCAACCCGTCGCAATATGGCTTCGCGCCGCAGCCGCAGCGTGCCGCCAGCGGTGTTCGCCCAGGACCTCCGCTGCTGCATCAGCACCAGCAGCAGCAGCATCAGCAGCCGCATGTGCCCGGGCGCCAGCAGGTGGACCCGCTGGAGCACGAGAACAGGGTGAGCATCATGAGAATGGCACTCGACTCACTCAAGCAGGAGAAGACGTTCAAGGCGTTCTGTAAGGTGAGATCAGGAAGGGAGGATGGGACAGAGAGAGGGAGGGGGGTCGGAAACACACGTTGATCGATGTGGATGTATGCCTGCAGCCGGTGTTTGCCATGCGGGAGAAGTTCACAAGGACGATGGACCTGCAGACGCTAGAGGTGAGGGGCGACAGGACAGGGATCGACAATGTCCGGATGGACAAGACACGGTCGGTCATGTGTGCCCCCGTGTGTGTGTGTGTGTGTGTGTGGTTCAGGAGAACGTCAACAACGGTTTCTACCCCACTCTGGAGTCCTTCGCGAGTGACCTCAGACTCATATGGGTCAACTGCGAGAACTACGCCAAGGAGGACTCGGTCAGGATGACACCTCATGCACACATCCACATTATCTGCATCAGCGCATCCATCCATCTGTTTCCTTTCCGCATGTGTCTCTCTTCAGAAGATCTACGGCCTGGCGCGCGACCTGTGCATGAGGGCAGCGGAAATCCTGCGGCCTTACCTGCCGCACTTCCCATTCCAGAACACCAGCCTGCCCGGCGATGCAAACCCGCCGCCGCCGCCTCCCCCTCCAGGTGCGGAAGCAACCACTTGCACACACACGAGAGAGAAACACACATCTGGCTGTCTGCCGTCTATGTGTTGTCAGGTGAGCCTCCCGGAGGCCCTCCCTCGATGCCCAACCCCTACCACCAGCCGCAGCCCTCGCGGCCCTTCCCACAACGGAGCCAGCAGATGGCCCAGCAGATGGGACGCCCCTTTCCCCCACCCCCACCCATGCGCCCGTCGCAGTATGGTGAGTTCGGCGGTGACTTCGGAGGCGGCGGCTACTATCCTCCGCCCCAACAGGGCGGCAGAGGCGGCCCCACCCTTGGGCCCAAGGAGCCGATGCGGCCACGACGGCCACCGGTGCCACCGCAGGACATGATGCGCCCTCCCCCCATGCACACGCCCGATGGCCCCGAGCCCATGCACACCATGAGCCCTCGCGGCGGCATCTCGTTCTACCCCCCTCGCCCGCCCCCACCGCCCCCACCCGACTTCGATGATGCCAGTCACGACGGGGACCACCCAGGGCTGTCGTTCGACATGTCGCCTCCGCCACCCACGGAGGGCCCACATGTCCGGTCACCGATGCGATCGCCACCCATGAGGCGAGGCAAGCGGCCGCCCGACTCGTCGCCAGTGGACAGGAGGGGCAAGGGCAGTCAAGGGCCAGGAGTGCCAGCCGGCAACAAGAGAGCCAAGAGGCAGACGAGAGCGCCCTCAGCGCCCGTGCACTCGGGGCAGATGCCCCCGCTGGGCGCCATGGCGGCCGAGCCGGGCGCCCGGAAGCTGGAGGTCATCGATTCGTCAAACGGCGACAAGACCCCGCGGGTCGCCAAGCCGCCGGCAGCCGTCAAAGAGAAGAAGGAGCACTTCTTCGACGCTCCCAGGGTGACAGCGTTCGCGATGAAGTCGAGCCCGCAGCCCTCCCGACGGCAGCCGCTCATTCGACGGTTAGAGGAGGAGAAGGCCCGCATCGCATCGCTCGGCAGCCAGCTGGACGCTGCCGTGGACGGCATGGCGCTGAGCGACCGTGCCGCAGAGGCCATCCAGGAAGGCGTGTGGCGGTGGACAGAGTTCTGTCGACAGGAGATGTGGCGCGTGCTGGTGGGGGAGCCAACACAGACACAGGAGGGTGACGGCCCCAACAAGGAGCACCTGTACTGCTCGGTGCACATGGTGGGGGCCATGGGCACGGGGGTCATAGCGGGGGAGGACGCCACGCTCGAGCTGCTGACGATCGTGCTGAGCCCCCCTGGCGAGAAGGCGCAGCCCAAGTCTGTCGTCTTGCCCTTCATCCACCAGTGGCTGGATCGGGCCCTGGCTGACGACCTGCTCCAGGGATGGACCAAGACAGCGGCAGACCCGTCCACGACCAGCAGCAGCAGTGACAAGACGGTCGCCCTCACCTTCGTCTCGTCCGCCGACCCGCCAGTCACGGTGAGGTGTGTGATGGGTTTCAGCCCCTACGAGTGGTCCAACTCGGCCGTCGCCTACACGCGCCTGCTCCGCTCGTACGCCTTCGCGAGCGACAGCGTCACCAAGGCGGCCCTGCTGATGCACCGATGGGCCAGGATGGTGGGCCTTCCCTGTCGGTATGTGCCCTTCCTCGAGGCGCCATCGCACCACATCTTGCCACTCGAGCGGCCGGGCGGGAGTGGAGGGGAGGACAAGGCAGTGCCATCGAGCTCACAGCCATCGGACGCCTTGCCACCGTCGGATGCGCCGATGGGGGAAGACGAGCTGTTCGACCAGCCGGTCTTCTTCATGCCGGTCCCTGCTGCTTCCGAGGTCAAGAGTGGCGTCAAGACAGAGGAGCAGGAGGCCGGTGCTGTCATAGAGGAGAAGCCGCAGGAGCAGGCTGTTGCCAGCACCCCCCCTCTTCCTCCCTCTCCCCCATCTGTCCCGTCCGTCCCCCTGGCGCACGACTTCTGGACCTGGGTTGTGGTGTTTGTGGCGCAGCTGCCGCAGTACAAGAGCAGCCGGCACCATGCGGCCCTGCCCAACCTGCAGCGGTGCATCTCGCAGCAGGCCCCGGACCGCCTGCTCACCATGGACCTCGAGGGGCTGCCCACCATCTTCCTCCTCGAGAAGGGCCGCATGGGGTGGCGATCGAGCCCCGCCGTCGCATTCCCTCTGTTCGACCCGCCCGCCATGTCGGCCATGCGTGAGGCATACGAGAACAACTTGGGTGGCCTCGAGCAAGAGCAAGAGGGGGATGAGCAGCAGCAAGATCTAGATGGGCCCGCGGGGGCAAAGGAGGGAGAGAGGGAGGGTGAGGGGGGTGGAGTTGGTGTGAAGGCGATGGATGAGGTGGCGCGTCTATCGCATGAGAGGGAGGAGCGGCTGGACAAGAAGGTCTTTGGGGGCAGCCGCAACATCTACTGGGAGTACTCGGCCGTCGAGCTGCTCGACGACGTGTGGGATTTCATCGCAGACATGGAGTGGGCCGACACCGGGCTCTCTATCAGAGAAGGTACGGTCTGCTACACACCCACACACACACAGTTCGCCTCCCTGTGCCATACATGTGTATAATGGTCCGACATCGATCAGGTGAGCAGATCCGCAAGAAGCGGCCGTCCTTCAGCAGCGACCATGCCCCACTCATCGAGGACCCCATCACACGCCTCAACCTCTGCGCACCCACCCGCCCGTCGCAGTTCTCAACCATACCAACCACCATCAGCACACAGCAGCCAGACAAGGATGGCAATGACGACCCCGCCATAAAGGAAGCGTGGGCAGCCTTCTACGCCATTCTCAAGAACAAGGCGATTGAGACGCGAGACGGTCTGAGGCAGAAAATCGGGGGAGATGGCCTCGGGAGTGCCAATGGTGCTGATGGCAAGACGGGCGCTTTTGACCTGCTGTTGGGACAGTGAGTGGCCGCTGCTTAAGCTCGGTCAGCTTCAGTCAGATCAGTGGTGAGTCAGTCTCCTGGTAACAGTGTGTCGTGACCTACCTGGATTAGATGGATGAATGAGCGGTGTTTTGTTCATGCATTGACGGGGAGTCTCTGACGTCGCTTTGCCTTGTGTTTAATCATGAGATGTGCATCAGCACCAAGCGCCACCGTGCGTGCTGCGATCCTGGACAAATTGATCACTCTTGCCCCCCAGTCGACCGCATGGAAGCCCAAGACAGGATATTCAACTTGGCCGCGCGCATGCGAATCAGGAAGAGACGCCCCCGCGACCCCCACCCCCTCCCCCTCCCAAATGCAGCCGGTTGTTCTCGTCGCTTTCGTCATTTGCGGTACGTACCGAGTGCACATGCCCCGCACAGCTTATAAGCTGCACAGTGTCCATGATGATTGTTCAGATGAACTTCATTCGGTTGTGTTATGGCGTTCGTTCCACACATGCAGGCATTTTCGTTCGCTGCGGCCCAGCCCGAGACGCCCTTCGGGGATCAGCCATGCGCCGTGAGGCCCGGAGCGATCAGCGTCGCATACCTGGAGAGTAAGCGCATCGATTAATTCTCACTGCCTCACGGTCTTGCCTGAATGAAATCCTGCAATGCAGCGATGGGCACGGAACGCACAGGCATCACCCCGGTTGTCCCTCGCGATGCTAGCCAGAGCACTGCAGAGGTGTGCACTACAGCAAAGGAGGCCAAGAAGCTTGTGGAGCTGGCACTCAAGCTGTGTGGCAGTACGCACAACTGAGTTTGTCTCCTTCCGCGCTTTGCTTTCTGTCATTTCTGCCTGCAGAACTTGCAGAGAGCGTCTGCCGCAGCATGACACAAGAGCAGGTGGCAGAGGCCGTCGGTGAGTCTCTCATGTTGGCCACGCCCCAGAAGGTGGAGGCCCAGAACATCCGCCGCGACGGCTGCAAGGTCGTCTTGGACCTGGTACCAGCAGGTTGTCTCATTGCTCTTTCGTCAACGAGCCTCGAATTTGTCTCTCTGTTGCTCCGGTGGGTGCGCTGTGTGTGCAGAGGGCAAGCGAAGCCCCGACAGCTTCCTTCAAGTTCGTAATGGCACCACCGACGGCCCGTACGGCGCCCTCCTCGCCGGCACGATGGTTCGACTCATCCCAAATGTCGTTGGGGCCATGGTAGCGTAACAAGCGTTCAAAGAGCCTTTTCCAGGGCCTTGCGCCACTGTCACTGATGACCTGTGATAGGCATTGACCGTCGGCGGCACGCACATCGTCAAGACAGTGGCCGAAAGATACCAAGACTACCAGAAGACCGGTCTGACTGAGGCAGTCAACAAGCAAGCTGCACTGAGGGTGGCACCCAAGCTGGCCATCGAACAACCGAGTGGGGGCGTTTGCATCCACGACACGCCGCACGAGATGTTCGTCAAGACGAAGCTCTCGTCGTCGTAGTCCGGCCGTTGAAACATCCACCCACGCATTCGACCAGGAAAGAGGATTCTCTCTGTGTCTCTCGATTTTTACTCAATTGTCCGTCCGTCGATTGGGAAAGGGAAGGAGGGAGCGGAGCAGCGGTGCATCAATCACGTGATCCCATCCCATGGCAGAAAGGAATGCAGGGTACATAGATAGATGAGATGCGTCAGTCAGTCCGAGACACTGACTGACTGTCGTCTCTTCGACTACCGTTTGATCAACGCATGCGCGTGCACAACCAAACAAGTATGAGCCCCTTCAATGAATGTCCCGTATATTCTGCATGGTCAAAGCCCGGCGGGCGGTGCTTTGCGCGGGAAAGATCGAAGGGCAAGTCGAGCGGCGATTAATTCTTTAACTCGCGCTGTTCAGCAATTAATGCAGTGCCATGAATAGCGCCGCAAGCATTAATTGAATTTACGGCCCTATCATGAACTTGAATTTACGGCCCGGCTTGACCCCCGGGTTGTGTGTGTGCGTAGTGTTGTGTGAAACGATGCAGTGGCCGCAGGAGCCTTTCCCAGCCCACCCGCACCCATCGCAGGCCATGCTCCCCGCACCCGCGTCCTCGGCGGCTGTGTCGGTCTTGCCGCCATCTCCTCGGGCCGATGCTGGTGTTGGGATGGGTGGGATGAGTGGGATGAGTGGGATGGGTGGGATGATGGGCGAGCATCCCCATAGAGTGGCAGATCTGGACGTTACGGTGCTCAACTTCGCCCAGTGGATCAGCGATTTGAAGATGCGCAGCAGCTCCAGCCAAAACACAATTTTGGCCGAGATGGGCGTCATTCGCAATGTAGGCACGCTGGTCCATTACAACACGGGCGGGATGGAAGGGATGTGTGTCCGTGGGCGTGTGTGTGCAGGGGATCACGAGCAACAACACGGAGTTGATGGAGTTTCGGCGTCACACGGCCACCGTGCAGCAGCAGATGCAGAGCCAGATAACCGACCTCAGAGATGTGAGCCATTCCACGCACACACACAGAAATGCCCTCGCTCCCTCACCGGCACTTATTGGTGGATGGGATGGATGGATGGTTGCAGAAGTTGATGGATGCCTACAACGAAATCGCCAACATGGTCAAGGCACAGACACAGTTCCAACAGGTGGGCATGGATGGATGGACGGACGGACGGACGGACGGATGGGGGGTTCCTCACATCAACACAGCCACTGACCGTGTCTGTCTGTGTTGCATTCGTATGGTGGGCTGGCTGGCTGCAGGAGATGCGGAGCGAGTACCAGGGGCTGCAAGAGGTAAGTCAGAGAGAGCAGGCCGCACGACACAACACCCATCCTTTCTACTTTCCTTCTCCATTTTGTCTTGCCCTATACATGGATGGCAGCAACTTCAGCTCAAGACCATCCAACTCGAAACACTCAAGAAGGTGGGTGAGGCGAAGGCCAACTGGCCTGCAGGAAAACAAACAAACGAACGAAATACACGCGGCTCACCCCTGCCCCGTATGCATTGCATGCGATGGCATGCCATTATTCCACACCAGGCCTACAGCCAGACGCACCAGCAGCTGCAGACACAGATCACCAACCTACAAAACGTACCCACACACCCACTCCCACAGGCACACCCACACCCACACCCACACCCACATACACATACACATACACGAAATCCAGGCAGGCAGGCACTGCCGATTCTTTGTGTGTATCTGTGTGTGTATCTGTGCACTACACAGGAGTTGAGTGAGAGTCAGTCGCGTTTGGATGAGTACCGTCGCCAGAGCGACCGGGCCAACGAGGACGGCATGCAGAAACTCTGCGAACTCCAAGTGGTAAGCGATCAATCAATTGACGCCACGCCCTCCCACCAAATTGACCGCACGGCCCCCCTGATATATATATATATGTGTGTGTGTGTGGATGGATGGATGCATTCAGTCGTCGGAGATGCAGCGTCAGGAGTGGCAGAAGTTCCGGAATACCTACGAGGAGACATCGGCTAATGTACACAGCACACAAAAGGACATACAGCAGGTCGGCAGAGTAGATGGCTGTAGTAAGGGAGGGAGGGATACGCTACGCAGAAAGGATCTCTCCGTCTGCAATCAAATCGTGTGTGTATGTCGCGTGGGGTGCATGCGATGCCTGCAGGACTTGGGAGGCTTGTTGAATGACTTCCGCGAGTGGAAGGTACGTATGCATCAGTGGCCATGCAGGACGACAATCAAATTACCATCCCCCATCCATCCATCCATCCATCCATGTGGATGGATGGAACACTGTGCCGGCCGTGCCGTGTATGTGTGTCTGTCTTTCTTTCTTCAGGCGGTGATAGAGAGCAACCACGAGGCGCTCCATCGCAGTGTCGTGGGACTCGACGCAAGACAACAACCGCAACACCAGACATCATACAGAAAAGAAGACGGGCACGTACCCCACACAGACAACACAGACAAAGACGTACGTACGCTCTCACACATGGGCACTCACACACGAATAGATAGATGCACAGATCCTGCAGGCAGGGTACCCTTTCAATTGTCTGTCTTTGCGCGTCTGTCTGTCTGTCTGTGTGTTCAGTCGTCCCGGGGCCTAGCCGCTAATGATAGCATAGAGGTGCTGGGGGGCACGGTTGCACAGAGGACCACCAAGGTGGGCGGGGCGGGGCGGGGCACAAACCAAAGCCGCACACCAACCCGCACGGCACGATGAGTGTTGGTGTTGTGTGTTGTGTGTCTCAGGGTGGTGGTTTCGGTGTGCACCCATCCGTCGTGGCGCCGCTGCCATCCCCGGCCAATGTCGCCAGTGAGAGCCCCCGAGGGCCCACACCAACACCCACAGGCGAACAGGTCAACCAACCGACACATATATACGATAAAGAACAAAGTGGCAGCCAACCAATCCATTCGTTTGTTCGCTATATACAGGGATACAGCAAGGGCGTTCCCACTCCGCCCGCTGCCGTGCCCACTGCATTCAACGGCGTGCAGCACCAGCACCATCAGCAGCATCAGCATGGCCCACACGCCCCTCCTGGCGCCCTGCTGCCCACACAGAACCGGGCCACACTGCACCAGCACCAACAGGTGGATGGATGATGAATCAATCAATCGGTGGATGGATGGATGGATGCCTTATGGATGGATGGCATGCTGGCCTTGCACTGTGTGTGTGTATGTGATGCGTGTGTCAGGTGGCCGGGCGTCAGTTTACATACGGTCCGTATGCGGGGCCTTTCTTCAGATAAACAAATAGCACACACACCTGTCTGTCTGTCCGCCCCGTCCGTCCACACGTGTGTGCTATGGCCGCACACAGCACAGTGGCCGATCGATTTTGACCGGTTATGCATTCTATGCAGCTGTAGCTGTAGCTGTCCCTGGACGTCTCCTTTCCTACACGCATGATTCAATTCTGTCCACACAACTTGTCACTTAATTGCCGCCCACCGGCCCTGACAAACACAACACATCAAACTCAGGCTGTTTGTCTGTTTGCTTCCCCGCCCATCTGATGGGCAGCGCCGCTCAGATGAGATGACGGTGATCAGCCCATCGCCCCGCACAATGATTCCATTCCACTGGCACCCTCCTTTTACGCCTTTTTACGCCGCGCTTGGGACATGAGGACACGTGTTGCGTACAACACGTCTCACACCTCTTCAGTGACGCACACAGAGTTGATGTCAGCGTCACGTTGCAGACAACAGCTCGTGTCACGGACAGTTCAAGTGGCCAGATCTGGGAACAGCCACTGGCCCTGCGCATCAGAGACTCTTGTCGGAAGTGCTGTACAGGCTCCCAACATGAGCTCACGGATGCGCCGAGATTGGCGGTCGTACACAGATTCCATCCACCTCTCGCGCTCTCTCTCCCCCCAGCCCGCCCATCACAATGCTACCTCTACCCACAGCAGCCAACCAGGAACCCACGTATCTACACACCGCACCCCTCAGAGCCAGCCGAGCCCCAGGCCCTTGGTGGTCGGCTTGAATTTGACTTTGGATCGCACACTTGGGCGGTAGGCCAGCTGCGGGCCGTGCAGAAAGTACTTGACGCCCATCACGACCACACTCAGCACCACCTGGCCCTTGACCACCGTGCGAAGGCGGCTGTCCTGGCACATCAGCCGAATCGTCTGCTCGGTCTCCTGCACGATAATGCCGTCAAGACCGATGTAACTCGGCACCCTGGCCTTGTCCACCCTCACAAATGCGCCATGCAGGTCGGCCGCCGCC